CTAGACCCTCCCTCCCTAGACCCTGTAGAGCTGTCCACTTGAGAGGTGAAGGGACACTTGCTATATCACCTCTCCTCTCTACGACTCAAAGTGTTGATCCTTTCTGGGTCACTGATCCCAGCTGGGTGCTAGAAAAAAATACTGTTTACATTTTTCAGATTATATGAAATATCCACAAATATCCACATTCTTTACTAATGCAAATAAATCCTACTGACAGCTCCTCTGGATACACAGTAAATGAAACCAAACCATAAACAGGGCTCTAAGATCTCCCCAGGGATGCTCAGAACAGAAGAGCACTGGAAGAGAACTGGATCTGTCCTTGTCCAAGGTCACAGAGTCTTCACTGACTTTGCCACTTAGGAGCTATGTGATCTGTTAAGTTTCCTTAACTATGAGATAGAGAGAAAACCCACCACAAAGGACCATGAGGATGAGATGTAAACTCCATTAGGCAAAGGATTTTGTCAGTTTTATACACTGCTGTTCTCTTGGTGCAAAAACAAACAAAATCCACCGGTGCTTGGCATAGAGTGGGCAGTGACTAAATCCTTGCCGACTGGCCCCGGGAATGAGGTGTTAGCATTCAGTAAGCACGCCATGCTGGTTCCTCCCCTCGCATCTTGAAATAAGTCACACATCAGGCTGACTGAGGCCCCGCTTTTCTATAAACAAATTAAAGCAGATGTGGACCAATTAAAAAGGAAGGAGCTTTTCCATTCTCACCTTCACACCTAAAGAATGAACAGCAAGTCCATCAGGTGATGACTTATTTTTATATAGATGAATTCTACAACGGATGTAGGAGTAAAGTCTTGATCAATAGACATCTGGGTCTAGACCAAAGTTTTTCAGCTATGGCTGTCTGGACATTTGGGGCCAGGTGATTTTTTTGTTGTGGGGGGCTGTCCTGTGCACTGTAGGACGTTTAGCAGAACTCCTGCCTTCTACTCACTAGATGCGTCCTCTCCTCTCAGTTGTGACAGGCAAAAATGTCTCCGGACATTGCCAAATGTCCCCTGGGGGATGGGGGCGGATCACCCCCCCCCCCACCGCCGCACACACATTGTGAATGGCTGAAGTAGACATACATGCAAACTTTGGGGGATGGGAGCTGATGTATGGAACAATCGCTACACCTTCATGCATTATCTCAATGAATCGTCACAATAACCCTGTGAAATAGTATTATCACATCCTCATCTTACATACAATGGGTTGAGAAGTAACTTGTACAGTCACATAACTTATAAGTAGCAACGTAAGAACCCAAGGCAGGTTGCCTCACTCCCAGGCCTAGGAGCCTCACTAGCATGCTGTACTGCCTCTTCCTAAAATCGTTTAAGAATTCTCTTTTGTTTTTGTTTTGTAGACAAAGAGTCGATTACCTTTCATTTTCCCTTCATGCATTGGACATCCTGAAGGCCGGGATGTTGTCTGATGATCTGATGCATTTGAGGTCTGAACTGCAACAGCAGGGGTAGATGCAGACAAACCCATGGTAGAAACCGCAGTGTTTGAGTCCAAACAATTCTAAATTCACACGTGCCAAAGCAGAGACAGATTAATGCCGATGCCTGGGCTCTGACTACTCCCTCGGTATTCTTAATCTGGCCAACCCTTGTGCTTCCTCCTTGTCATTCTTAGGTACATCTACCGGCCAGGATATCCACTTCGAGGGGCAGCTTTAATATATTAAAGCTTTTGGGAAACACTAGTACGAAATCGACGCCACCCTTTGGGGGCACGTTTCTAAGGGTGTGCGGAGATGGCAGGTGAGGCCAGGAGGTCCCTGAGAGACCACGTCATAGTGAGGGGATTATGCCGGGGGGGTGCAGCGGGTACTAGGTGGTGACCCGACGGGGGAAGGGAGGCCCAGCGTCCAGACTAGATCTCCAGACCTGGGGCTCGGCGAGGGGCTGCGAAGGGTACCGCGGAGAAACGGGATTCGAGGAAGAGAAAGAAGGAAAGGAAAACGGAGGGCAGGGTGCAGCCAGTATTTATCTCACGGCCCCCGCGCGTCCCTAGCCCCGGGACCCCAGACCCCACTGGCCTCACCCAGCCCGTCCCTCGGCACCTGACTCCTGATCAGGGCTGCTCTGGGCGGCTGGCCCCGCCTCTAAGTGCCAACTCTGGCCTGGAGCGGCAATTAACCAGCGCTGCTGCCGCTGCTGCTGCTACCGCTGCTGCTGCCGCTGCCGCCGCCGTCGCCGCCCTCTAGTTGGGTCACCGCTGTCGCCCGGGTCACCGCTGGCGCTCTCATGTGCTGCTACTTCCTTTTCCGAAGGCAGGACTTCCGGGAGCGAGGGAGGCGAAGTGCGTGGTGAAGAGGGGAGCGTCCGTCAATCACAAAGGAGCGGGGCCCGCCCCCTTCCGCCTCGGCCTATAAACGCGAGCGCCGCGCTCAGGCTCCGCCCCTCCCGGCCAGGCGCCTTTCTCGCTAAGGCAGAGCCGCTGGCTGAGTTTAGCCTGGGACAGAGACTTCCCTAGAGCAAAGCTCACTACTATAAATGTTTTAAACGCAGAGGGGTTGCTTTGGAGGACTTAGTTTTAAAATTTCGATTTGTTAAGTTGTATCTCGTCAGTTTTAACTCTAGTAATGACTCAAGAATAATAAGTAGGTGTCCAGAACTGTGGCGGACTCTGGAGATCCCAGAATGAACAAACCAAGGTGCCGGATCCCAAGGCCTTCTTAACTGGGTGTGTGAACTTGAAGGTCTGTATTTTCACTTACCTCTGACAGAAATTTAGTCTTTTTTCCCATCAGGAATGCAGGCAACAAATCCTAGCAGTTTCATATGATTGTTGTTTCTGTCTCAAGTACTATCCATCACTACTCTGAAATTAAGATAATTTTCTCTTTTTACTTAAAGCGTTAATAAGAAGCACATGTCTTTCTGCATTGTGGTAGCGGATCTGTCAAGTACACCCAGGTGACCCTTCAGGGGCTGAGGCTATCTCCAGGAATTGCCCTCAGCCTAAGAGAACTGCCTCAGGCAAAATCACGTTCCCTCCCTGGGGGCAGGCTGCAGCCTGTGAGTGGTCTCTACAAAGGTACTAACGCCTGGTCCCCTAGCCTCAAGGAGGACAACTCAGAAGGGCCATCTCAGCTTCAGAGCACTCACAGGATCAGCTGAATCTTCCATTGCGATTGTATCACAGTTTGACTCCTCCCTTTGCCCAGTGCTTCTTCCATTACTCTCTGACAGCTGTTCAGGAGAGCACACCTACGCACAGATCTTTAACAAATTTAATTATTATTTAGGTTTGGTAAGGCCAACAGACCAGGAAACGACTGCCATTGAAAAGATAGTTTGTTATACACACAGATCCCAAGAAAGGGAGTTCAAACACACCACACTGCGCCACACACACGAGGAAGTACTGGGGTCCAGCACGAGGTGGAGGGGGGGGAGCGGAACTGTGGGCAAGAGCCTTTATTATGATTTCCATGGGAAGGAATGGATGGGACAGGGTAAGCACGTTTAGGATTGGCTAATTTGAATAATCTCGGCTCTGGAGCATAGGGGCTGTCCCCAATGGTCTGGTACCTGGCCCTGGGGCAATTAAGGCAGGTGTATGGTGGCCCAGAATAGCCTCTAGCCAGGGCTTCAAAACTGGACCAAGACAGCATTTAAAAAACTGCATATAATAAGTCGGTGTATATGTCCTGGGGTACCTGGCTTTTAACAATCAAAATGTGTTTTTTACAAAATGTTGATGACTATATTTCAATACAATTGGTTTCTTTTGTAATTTTTTTTCATTTTTGTAGTTTTTAGTTTTTCAATTATGTCGACATACAATATTATTTTAACTTTAGGTGTACATCACAGTGATTAGACATTTATACAACTTATGACGTGATCACCCCGGTAAATCCAGTACCCTTCTGACACCATACATAGTTATTACGATACTACCTACTATATTCCCCATGCTACACCCTAAGTCCCCATGACTATTTCGTAACTACCAATTTGTACCTCTTAATCCCCTCCCCTCTTCACCCATCTCTCCACCCCCGAATGTGACAACCATCAAAATGATCTCTGTATCTATGAGCTTGTTACTGTTGTTTGTTTATCTTGTTCTCTAGATTCCATATATAATATTTGTCATTCTCTGTCTGACTTACTCCACTCAGCACAATACCCTATAGGTCTATCCATATTGTTGCAGATGGCAAGATTTCATCCTTTTTTATGGTTGAGTAATATTCCATCATATACTATACACACATATGCCACCTCTTCTTTATCCATTCATCCATTGATGGACAACCAGGTCGCCTCTACATCTTGGCTATTGTAAATAATGCTGCAATGAACATATGGATTTACGTGTCCCTTCAAAGTAGTGTTTTGGGTTTCTTCGGATAAATATCCAGAAGTGGGATAACTGGATCCTTCCTTGTCCTTGCTATAGCTTTGGTTTTAAAGTCTATTTTGTCTGGTATAAGTATTGCTACCCCAGCTTTTTGTTTGTTTGTTTCTATTTTCATGAAACATCTTTTTCCATCCCTTTCAGTCTGTATGTCTTTTGATATGAAGTGAGTCTCTTATAAGCAGCATATGTAAGGGTCTCATTTTCTTATCCATTTAGCCACCCTATCTTTTGAATGGAACATTTAATTCAATTATATTTAAAGTAATTGTTGCTAGATATGCAATTATTACCATTTTTTTATTGATATTTTTGATCCTCTTAGTCCCTTTAACATTTCTTGTAATACTGGTTTGGTGGCAATGAACTCCTTTAGCTTTTTATTGTCTGGGAAGCTCTTTATCTGTCTTTTGATTTTAAATAATAGCTTTGCAGGGTAGAGTAATCTTGGTTGTAGGTCCTTGCTTTTCATAACTTTGACTATTTCATGCCAATCTCTTCTGGCCTGTAAAGTTTCTGTTGAGAAATCAGCTGACAGTCTTATGGGAAACCCCTTGTAGGTAACTGCTTTTCTCTTGCTACTTTTAAGATTCTCTCTTTGTCTTTAACCTTTGGTATTTTAATTAAGTTGTATCTTGGTGCGGGCCTCTTTGGGTTCCTCTTGTTTGGGACTCTCTGCGCTCCTTGGGCTTGTATGTCTGTTTCCTTTGCCAAGTTAGGGAGGTTTTCCATCATAGTTTCTTGAAATAGGTTTTCAATTCCTTGCTCTCTTCTCCTTCTGGTCCCTATGATGTGACTGGTGGTACACTTCATTTTTTTTAGATTCTTTTTTCTTTTTGCTATTCTGATTGGGTGTTTTCTGCTACCTTATCTTCTCAATCACTGATTTAGTCCTTCACTTCATCTAATCTACTGTTGATTCCTCCTAAGGTATTCTTTATTTCAGTTATTGTATTTTTCATTTCTAACTGGTTCTTTTTTATGCTTCCTATCTTCATTTTTATGTTTTCTATCTCTTGGTTGAAGTTCTCGCTGAGATTATTGAGCATCCTTAGAAGCAGTGTTTTGAACTCTGCATCTGGTATATTGCTTGTGTCCATTTTCTTTAATTCTTTTCCTGGAGCTTTGCTTTGTTCTTTCATTTGGAACGTGTTTCTTTGTCTCCCCATTTTGGCTGCCTCCCTGTGTTTGTTTCTATGTATTAGGTAGGGCTGTTATGTCTCCCGGTCTTAGTAGAGTGGCCTTATGTAGTAGATATCCTGTGGGACCCAGTGGCACAGTCTCCCTGGTCACCTGAGCCAGGTGCTCCAGGTGTGTCACTTGTGAGTGTTGTGTGTGCCCTTCTGTTGTAGTTGAGCCTTCGTTGTTGTTTGCACATCAATGGGAAGGATTGACTTTCTGGCCGACTGGTTGTGATGACAGGCCGTGACCAGTGGAGGAGCTGTTGTGCAAGGGCCGACCCTATGGAGCAGGATTTGCTTTAGCTCTGGTGCCTGCCCTGTCTGCCCTTTGGATGTGTCATCCTCAGATGTGTCCCCAGGTGGAGTTCAGGATTAGACTGAAGCTGGCCACTGGGTGTGCAGGACGGGGTCTCCTGGGAGGGGACCTACTTTAGGCCAAGTTCCGCTGCAGCCTGTGCCCTGCCCAGGGCCACCTGGCATGAGTTCTCAAGTAATCCACAGATGGCCGCCACCCACACCAGGCTTGGAAGTGCCTCGAGAGGCCAAGTTGCAAACTAAAGCCAGCTGCCACCAGTGCTGGGCTTGGGGCTGCTCAGCAAGAGGTGTGGGGCACGCCGAGGCCAGATGCTGCTCGTTTGGGGGTGTGTGAACCTTTGAGAGATTTTAGGAAAGTATACAGCATGAGCCAAGACAGGCTGATTGATTGTATGGAAATGCCACTGGAAGCGGCTTGTGTGGGCCCAAGTTGGGAGGGGCGGGGTCTCAGGGAATCCCCTGGGCAGGGCGACCAGTGCCAACCGGGTTGATGGAGGCTCAGACATGGCAGCTGCACGGGTTTGCACTCTGGCAGAGCAGCGGGCTCAGCAAAGGAGCAGTGGCTTCTGCCAGCACTTCTGTCTGGGAGAAAGCCGCCCCTCTGGCCCTCGCCCTGAAGCCTGACAACTCAGTGCGACCGCGTGTGTCCCTGGCTCCTCACGGCAGCTGCCCCAACGCTGGAGCTCAGAGCGAGCGAGTCCATCAGCGGTGAGTTCGCATGCGGGGCCCTTAAGGGAAAAGCCTGTGACTCCCGCCGCCCTGTGTCTCACTCAGTCACAGTCTCCGCTGGTTTTCACAGCCAGAAGTTTTGGGGACTTCGCTTGCTGGCACTGGAACCCTGGGCTAGGGAGCCCAGTGTGGCACTGGGACCCCCCCGCAGCCGAGATGTCCCTCCTGATTCTGAACCGCCACACGTGGATGTGAGTCCAGCCCACGCTGCGTCTCCGTTCCTCCTATCAGTTCAGACTTGGTCTCTTCCCTGTGTCCCCAGCTGTAGGACTTCTGTTCAGCTGGATTTCGTGCGACTCCCAACGATGGCTGTTCTGTAGTTTAGTTGCAATTTTGATGTGGTCGTGAGAGGAGGCAAGCACAGCGTTTACCTACTTCACCATCTTGACCGGAGCTCTTTTGTGATTTCTCGTATTTTGTTTTATACACGTGAAAATATTATTCTGAGGAGATAGTCATAGACTTTACCAGACTCCAAAGGGGCTCATGACACAAAAAGGGTAAAAACTTTTGGTAATGGGAGAAACAGTCATGCACACAAACAACTGTATTTACGTGTCAATATATGTGCGTGCAGACTACTCTGGGGCAAGAGGGAAGGGGTGTGAGTGTGACGTGCAGGTAGTGGGACAGAAAGGACAGTAAGTACCAAAAACGTTTATAGCAAAGGAGCTACTTAAGGCAGAGTTGGGGGTGCATAAGAAGACTGGGGGACACCTTCAACCCGCTTCCACCATCTGCAGGCAAAGACATTGCTTTTTAACTGTTTCTTCTCGTTTGTCCCTCCACGTTCCAAGCAACATGCTAACACAAACACACACATCCAATAATCACGCCATCCAATTTTAGATACGTCATGGTTTAGTATTTACATTATTACGACTATGAAAATATTTGTAATGAATGATGAAAAATTTTTTTAGTGTACAACTCTTTTACTAGATTTTAACACTGGCCTTGTTTTTTTCCCTTTGTCGGTCTGGTTTTTAATGATTATCCCTGAATTTTCTGTCAACATTGTAAATCACTCAAAGCACTCGAATATATCAACTACTATATATGTTTCATTTTTTTTCCCCTTGAGACCTTACTCTTAGATAAGGAC